TTTACGGGCCCTACAAAGTAGTGGAGAGACTGACCAACGTTACTTATGTGGTAGAAGACCTAAGGACAGGACGACGAACTCAAGCGACCATCGATAGGATTAAACCCTACTTTGATGACAACTTGACTGACGAGGACATTTGGGTCTACGAGACGTCGCCTAACAACGACCAGGACGTAAGTGACAACTGAACAATATAGTCTCGTAATGTGTTTTGTAGTATTATCTTAACTCGATCTCACATGTGGAAGTACACGTGTGATTGGATTTGGACTTCCTCTTGAATTATTGATTTATTGATTATTGAAAATAATTTTGAAATATTGTATTGCATGCATTTGATACATGGTGTAAGTTTTAATCGTTATATGCGCACTCACACACAAACATAACAAATAATATTTGGCACTTTTTGTAGAATTTATTGACATTCATTGTTGGCAATTAATTATCTTAGAACTTAAATCCTACCAATTTTCTTAACTTAAGACATTTATTAGTTCTAGACAAACATAATTAAGAAATCATGACAAATTATTGTCGCCAGTTTAATAATTATAATTGATTAAAATTGTATAAAATTATTATTTTGTTTTTAGTGTACAAACACTTTATGTTACCTAATTCAACATTACAGACATATAAACAGTTTTATTGAAAATTTTCGATAATTAAAATCCGGCCACTAATTGTTTAATAATTGACATCCTACGGATTTTATTTGATTAATACACTTTATACTAAATTACCTTTAGAATCAAGAAATTTTGATACATAATTGTCGCCAGTTTATTAATTATGAACAATTTAATTTTTTATAAATTTAAATTGACATCCTACGGATTTTATTTGATTAATACACTTTATACTAAATTACCTTTAGAATCAAGAAATTTTGATACATAATTGTCGCCAGTTTATTAATTATGAACAATTTAATTTTTTATAAATTTCTATTTTTATTGTATACAAACACATACAAGCACTCAAATATTACATTACACAAATGTTATACTTAATTAACGGATTAATTTTAGCCATGTTCTGTGAGGTACGCTTACCCACAGTTATGATTTATTGTACAAAAATAATGTACCACATTGTTGTAAACACGTCTTTACCTTTGAGGGACCAAAGGTCATGAGAAGGGGGATATGTAACGTCAGGTTTAGACCTACGCATTAATTAGTACTCACCGGACACTTGACCATCTGAAGTGTCGCTGAGTATAGTCTCACTCACACTATACTTGTCCATTCTAATTGTGTAGTTTGAGTTTAGGCGACTATCGCCGTGTCTTAAGCCATTATTACAGTATACACTTTGCAATAGTTATGGTAGAACTATAGGGTCAGTTTCAGGCATACCCTGACTACCCCGTGGGTGTCGACGCAGACACCCTGCTTACTATCAGTTAATCCTTGGTTTCCCATAGCTTTTCCCTTATTACGAAACCCATTATAATACATGTTTTAATAATAATACTACTACTGCATAATTGTAGCCAATAGCTTTCTATGGGAGTACACATTCACTTTTACGCACTTTTGCGTTACCCAATTATACGCTAACTTTAAGGTCATGAGCGCACTTGCGCTCTGTCATTTTGTCTTGGGATCTAAACAGAACAGATCCATCTAATTCAGTTAATCTCTGGACTCTTAATCGTGTGGACGTGTTCTCTTCTTTTGGTGGACTCCATTGTCCACTAGTTTATGTACTTTTAACCATTTTTATTATAATAAAGCATTAAAAGACTTCACAGTCCCAAACAGTTGTAAGTAATTCATTTAATTCGGGCCTCTAGTGCCCGCTCTTTCTCTCCCAATCCTATTCCTTCCCTCCTTTCTCCACTCCCGTATCCGACATGCCAAACAAGACCCGCCAATTACGGTTCTCGGTGCTGATGGGCTTCGGCCCGGCACCCGCTCCCAACTCCGTGCCCTGCCTCGGCACCCCTCCCGCCTCTTATGGTTTCGTGTCGCAAGACACACGGATCGGTCACTTATGTGGCCGATTCTATCCTCAAACCACTGGCCAATAGACGATTCGACGACACACGCGGACGCAATCCGACCGACTGGGAGTGCTCACCTCGCGCTGGTCGGTACACACGCTTCGCCAAACTCCATCTGGCCGTCTACCGCTCGAGACGTAACGCCACGCGATCGACTACACGCGAGGACCGCAGGACGAGACTCCACACGAGGACGGATGCCGGATGGGTGGTCGCGCAGACGTATCCTCACACTGATGGCCACATCGTCACGCCGGATGGACAGCAGACGTCACCGGACGAGTGGACAGTTGGCCCGCGGACCACACCGGATGCGTCAATATTAAGCAGGAGTCGTGCTCTGCAAACTCTAGTAACGTCAGCTGGAGTGAGGGGAGTAGTGACCCTCTCGAATGTATATAAACCTAGAGATCACACTCTAGAAGATGGAAGTGACGTCCATATGAATGTCTAATGAGCACACTTTAGACAATGTATATATTAAAAAAGATATGCAGGAGTCGTGCACCTGTTTATACAGAGGTTCGCGCCCTCTTAATTAAAAACTAAATAACTAGGGAGCGCCCCCTAGCGGTATTAATACCATACACACACAACACACAATATCAAACTCGATGAAGTGTGACGCAATCGATGTCGTAAGTAGGTCACATGACCAGTGTGACATCATCACAATACAAGCCTCTGATTGGTTTTGAGATAAGTGGGCGTGGCTTAATCGCAAACTAAGTTTCTGATTGGCTGATGAGTAAAGTGGGAGGGGCAAAATCCCTGCCTTTGACAGTGCTTTGGCGCTATAACGGCATCCTTCCTACTAATTTTACTACTCAATTGCATTAATTACGTTAGTTATTTGTAAATTATATAATACGTACATTGTGTTTATTTCAAATAATTTAAATCCAATTACACCAACACTATAAATATCCGCTTTAATGTTGTATGTATTACTGAGACCCACTTCTGGTGCTGTAAAATCAGGGGTCCCTGGACCGCGGGTGTGGCTCATAAGTGCCCTGTTATGTTCTGTTGCTAAGCCAAAGTCACCCAATATAATGAATCTATTATTACACGTGTTCTGTAAAATCAAAATATTCGCTGGTTTTATATCCCTGTGAATGATCGGTGGGTGCAGTCCGTGAAGGTATTTAAGGCATTGCAAGAGTTCCCGGAAAATTTCACATGATATGAAATATTCATAGATATTAAAAGGTTGTGCGGGTTGTCTATTAAAAAACTTGTCTTTGTCTTTAAGGAGATTCCAAAGAGTTTGCTGACAGAATTCCATTTGAATGTACAGACCATTTGATTCAATCCACGAGTGGTAATACTTGACCACAAAATATGAGTTACATTTTGATAATATATTCACTTCTTTGAGGACTCGAGTTCTCTCTTCTTCACTAAAATCTTTTTTATTTCATTCAATATTATGTTATTTGACAAAACTTTACAAATTATGTTAATTAAATATTAATGTTGCTTACCTTTAAATTGTATTTTCTTAACAGCATATATTATATTGTCTAATTTATTTATCGCTTTATATACTGATCCAAAATTACCAGCACCAATTTTGTTTATTTCCGAAAATTGCGATTTATATATACCATTAATATTATCATTTGATTTATCACTATTGAGAGACAAATGGATATTTGTTTTCTTTAACAAAAACTGATAGAAGAATGAATTAATATTTAATTGAAGTTTATTTTGCATGTCATTAAATTCGACATTATTTTCGATAATTATTTGTTTATCAATAGACCAGTTGTGATCAAATAATATTTGGTCAGCCGGTGGTCGTTTTTCGGGTGAAAAGTCAAGCATCAATTTAATAATATCATCTAGATATTTTACTTTTTCCAATAATATACGCATATGGTATTTTTGATGATCACTAAAAATGCACATAAAATAAAATTAACTAATTGTTATTCATTTACATTAAAACACTTATTATATACAAGAATATAAACTAGTATTTTTTTAACCACAATCTAAGACTGGATAAAATTGTTTAAGATCATTTGCCCCTTGCATCAACACGTTTAAATTTAAAATTGGATTAAAGATTAATTCTATGGCTATACTTTAACATTGAACCAAGTTTATATTAATCTTATTATAATAATCTAATGTGACTAGTGGTAGTCGTATGGACAATGCAAATGCTATAAATAATGTTAAGTTTATAAAACTAATTTTATGAATAATTGTATGTTAATAGCATTATTAGATCTATCGCAAGTCTATGGGATTTTTTTTAAAGATCTGAAAATAATGTTAATCTATATTTTAAATAATGCCCGAATGGTTTTTAACGTATAGCATTGCTGTGTGTAAATTGTATAGCAGATAAAAATAAATCGTTTATTACAATTTATTAACAATCATAAACCGTATACTACTAATGTAAACTTTTAGCTACATATATTTAAGATTAATATCCAATAATATTGAAAATAAATTGTATTTGGCATACATTTCATTTATATCAAATAACTTCATTCCCATAATTCCAACGCTGTAAATATCAGCTTTAGTGTCGTATATTTTAGAGTTGCCCACTTCTGGTGCCGTATATTGTCGAGTACCCACTCCTTGACTGTGAGTTTGCCCATCATAAGTTGCCAGAGCAAAATCACACAATTTTAAAAACCTAGAATCGTTAGGATTATTTAATACCAATATATTATTAGGTTTTATATCACGATGAATTATTGATGGATTTAATTCGTGAATATATTTTACAGATTCCAGGAGTTCTCAAAATATTTCGCACGATATGAAATATTCATATATATTCATGGGTTTCTTCAATTGTCTACCAAATACTTGTTGTTTATTTTTAAGTACAGACCCAAGCGTTTGCTGGCAATAATCCATTTGAATGTACAGCAATTCATTTTCAAACCATGAGTGATAATATCTAACCACGTATTTTAAATCCAGTTTTGCCAACATTTCCCTTTCATTAGTGTCATTAACATCTAAACATAAAATATCACCAACATAAATAATGTGATTCATAATATCGCGCGGCCACACCCTTTTTACATATGGTTAAAAGTGAATATCAATTATAGCATTAATCATATTTACCTTTAATTTGTCTCATTTTCACGGCATATATTTGTTGATCCAATCTATGACTTACTTTATATACAGTTGCAAAGGCACCCGAACCTAAAATTTCTATCACTTTAAATTGAGTATCATAATAACTTTTATTTGATTTATTAGCCATTTTGTATTAACGTTAATTATAAGTAATCAGTTTATTATATAAGATTTCCACAGATTATTATTTCAATTTAATTTTTTTAAATATTAATACTGTAGTATTAATAAAAGTTAGTTAATACAATGAATTAATATATTTAATATTAGTTATATAATAATTATTAGTATTATTAGCCGTTAATAGTGAAAGCATACTCACAAAATGAATATAAAATATAAGAATGTTGCCGTTAATACAATTATTTTATTATATCTATTTTATTTTATTATATTTTATTATACTATATCTTTAGATAACAAGTCATATAATCAGGTAAAGTCAATAAAAATACAGTTGCATTGTATTATATTATTTATGCTCAATAAGATAAAATATGAATTACTTTCTTACAATGCAATTCTCTAAAAATAGAGACATAAAGATAACACAGAAACAAAAGTTTTGTATGCGTTAAATACAATTTTGATAAACAATAAAATTTCTATTTAATAATTACAATAATTATTAATTTGTTTTATATGATAGAATTTGACAGAACAATGTATTGTCGCTAATTTTAAGTGTATTTAATTTTTGATGTAAATTCTTATTAATAATGATCAATAGACCATTGAGAATAATCTTGTAATAATCGCTGACCAGAGGGCCGGTTGTTGGGCATCGACTCAGCCATTGACCGAATCATTGCATATTTGTAAAATTTACCCGAAATTGGAGAAAAATTATATTTTTGTAACGGATTTTCGCTATAAAATCACAAACAATTAATAAATGTTTATAATTACAATATAAATGACTTACATATTGAATAAATCAAACAAATGCTGTGCAATAACGCCCAGACTATAAATGTCTGATTTGGTTGTGTACCGGCGCTGATGGGTTTCAATAGCCATGTATTGTGAAGTACCCACACCTGCCGTGTGGCTCATGGATGAAATCACGTGATCAGTGGCTAAACCAAAGTCACAGAGTTTTACAAAACGATTATTTCTAACGTTGTGTTCAATCAATATATTGTCGGGTTTGAGATCCCGATGAATGAGTCGAGGATTGGATTCGTGGAGATATTCAACACATTCTAAGAGCTCTTTAAATATTTCACAACTAATGAAATATTCAAATATATTCATCGCTTCGTCCGGTTGTCTCTCGAAGACAATGGGTTTGTCTTTGAGAACAGATTTAAGACTTTGCGAACAGAACTCCATTTGAATAAAGAGATGATTGGACTCAAGCCATGAGTGATAATACTTAACCACATATTCTGAATCCAGTTTTGCTAAACATTTTACTTCTTTGAGAATTGTTTGTTTCTTTTCTTCACTAAAATCTATGAAAATATTTTTTGTAAAATAATTATTTAGTTTTATATTATATAAATTATATAAAGATTTAGATACATTTATTGAAATTAAATAGACATTTACCTCCAAATTGTACTCTTTTAACGGCATATATCTAGAGTGACCAAACCGTCCTTCCCTGGAAGATTTGTCCTTCTTTTGGCCTCTCAGTCCTTCCGACTTCCGAAGGGTCGGGAAGGACTATACTTTGTCCTTTTTTTTAATATAATAAATTTTATTTAAAATGTAACAAATTTTATTAGATTAAACATATTCTACAAAAAATTAAAATTTTTTATAACAATTATCAATAGTTGTTATAAATAGATGATAGCATAATATATTGTTTGTAATAACAAATTTACTGTTAGTTAGAAGAAGGACGCTGTTAAGACTGTGTTTAATTTTGAGCTAATGGTTGAGTCCTTTTGTTGGAAGAATGGAATGATGAAACTACTAACATTTAAAAATATGTATAATTTAACTCATAATTTAACATTTGTTATATTTACTAAACAATATTTATTTACTCTTAAATTAAAATATATGCAAATTTTAATTTCGCCATTTGATCAAAAGTAAAAATTATAAACATAGTATCGGCGCTATTCAGTGTATTAAATATTGAAATATTCAATGTAAAATATTAGTATAAAAGTAAAATGCTCGCATTTTGAAATTAAATTAAATAATTTAATTTGGAAAGATTTTACTAACGATTTTGTAAGAAAATTCAAGAAAACGCTGTAAATGATCAATGAAATTTATGTAGATTTTGTGTCGTCCTTCCCGCGTCCTTCTTTTGTATCTCAGTTTTGACCATTTGTTCTTCTTTTGACCAAAATTATTTGGTCACCCTACATATATCTTATCATCCAATCTATGCTTTACTTTAAATACA